CATATTTTAAATTCTTTCTGTCAAATCCATTAATTCTTTATAGGCAGGGTCTTCTGTAGTAGGTGCCTCATGGTCCCTTGGGGGAAGGTGCTCTGTTTTGGTCTTTTATGTTGCCCAAATTTTTTGTTGGTTCCTCCTCATGTGTTCTTTCTTCTTGTTCAACTCCTTGTCCTTATTCCTTCTCACTTCCTCCTTTGCTTCAAATTACCTTGTCTCAGAGCTTAGGTCTTAAAGTGACCTCAGCCTGAGCAAAGCCAAACTCTTCCTCTGCCATGACCAAAAGTATAGGAGTCCTAGCTCTAATGACTAAGATTTCCACTGCTCTGGATCACATGGAATATCCAGCTCACCACCACCTCGTTGTGTTCTCTGAGCCATGACTCCAGGTAAGGTCTCTGTGCCAGGTATGGCTGGGTTCTCTTTCATTCCCCCAGTCATACTAGAAGAGCTTAGCTGACCAACCTTTCTGCTGCCTTCTTGCTCCAACCCATCCCACCCCTCCACCCCCCGCTTTTGGTGCTATTCTAATAGATTTTAATTTTTCAAGCAGTTTGAAATTCATGACAAAGTTGATCAGAAAGTACAGAGATTTATCATATAATCCTTCTTGCCCCCACACATACGTAGCCTATACTACATATTATAATCTGTAATTATGTAATTATAAAATTATTTAATATCGTTCTCCCTATTATAATGTAACTAAATCTCATGAGGACAGAGAATGTCTGCTTTGATCATTCATTTCAAAGCCTCAAGAATTTGTCACAAAGTTGAACAAATGTCTTAAAATTGTATTTCTTTTCCCCATACCCACTTTACAGAAGAATTGCAAATCAGGGATAAGATGAAAAGGCTTAAGAAGAAGAAAAGTACACACAATCCAGAAATCAGAAAATTAACACATGATTAAATACAAGTTTGCTTTTAAAAAGCTAGACAACATTAAAATACAAATATTAACTCACCCTGGAATTTTTAAGCTTCTGGACTGTATCTTTCATTTTTTCCTTATAATTCTTTAGCTTCTCGGGAGAATCCACAATTTTTGTTTTCAAACTCTCTTGTACTTCTTTTGAAGAAACTATTGACAATTTTAGTTCATTCTGTCAAGAAAACATTTTTATATATTAGACATAAAATAAAATTAGTGATCTGCCATTTCAATAAAGGATAAGAATATAGAGAAGTGAACATGGAACTAATCTCTATATTCTTATCCTTTATTGAAATGGTAAATCATTAATTTTATTTTATACTTCAAAGCAAGTGAACATGGAACTACTGGTGGTGAAATTAAATTCTGACATCACCTGCCTGCTGGTGAGATCAAGCTCCTTAGCATGATATTCAAGGCCCTGCATTACATGCCTCTTACTCCGCTTTTCTATCTCTCCCTTTCCTACTGTGCCCTACATCTAGTAATCCTAGTCTTATGTATTAGACAAGTCCAAGTGATCTATCTTAGATCAGTATCATTCTCCTAGAATACCACTGTCTCACTCCTTTCTGTCTGCTGAATTTCTACTCATCCTTGAAAATCCTGCTCCCACTTCCTCTACTTTTTTCATAAACAGTATAATTATTATCCATGCAACTTTATGTTATAATTATATGTTTCATAACTGACTGAGCAAATTAGAATTATGAAGTCATCTTTGTTCTTCTAGTACTCAAAGTAATAGCACTGAGAAGGTATTCAATACATGTTTATGGAAGTGAATTCTTTCCTTTTTTTTTTCAGACAGCATCTCATGCTGTTGCCTGGGCTAGAGTGTGGTGATAATCATCATGGCTCACTGCAACCTCAAACTCCAAAACTCCAGGCTCACAGGATCTTGACCTCATAAACAGCTATGAGTATAGGCACATGCTACCATGCACAGCTAATTTTTCTATTTTTTTGTGGAAACAGAGTCTCATTCTTGCTCAGGCTGGTCAGGAATCCGTGGGCTTAAGCAATCCTCCTGCCTGGGCCTCTCAATGTGCTGTGATTATAAGAGTGACCCACTTTGCCCATTCCTGTCTCCTGAATTTCAAAAGCTAATGTAGCCATTCAAGAAATCAATGTGAAAAGTATTAGGAATTCTTTTAAAACTTTATTAAAGTCTGAAATTATGTTTAAAAAACTTCCTATAGGGTGGCTCCTGTGGCTTAGTGAGTAGGGCACCGGCCCCATATATGGAGGGTGGCAGGTTTGAGCCCGGCCCCCGCCAAACTGCAACAAAAAAATAGCTGGGCGTTGTGGTGTGCGCCTGTAGTCCCAGCTCCTCGGGGGGCTGAGGTAAGAAAATCACCAAAGCCCAAGAGCTGGAGGTTGCTGTGAGCTGTGATGCCACAGCACTCTACCAACGACAACAAACTGAGACTCTGTTTCTTAAAAAAAAAAAAGTTCCTATGAATTTCTTTCCCAAATATTTGTTTTTGATAAATTGCAATTATATTGTTTGAGGACTCTCTATGATGCTATGCAGTGACATGGAAAATTTCCACAAAATATTAAGTGAAGGAACTGTATTATGCATTGCTATAAAAACAAAAACAACAAAAAAGTGACACATGACTATCTGTATCTGTATATATGTATGAAAAAGGAAGGGAAAGGTATCACCTCAAGGTAAAGAGGGTTGAGATAAGAAGGCCATTCATTTTTGACCCCCCATATATATATGTATGTGTGTACACACACATCATTTGAATAATTTATAATAGAAATGTATTATGGCATGGCTTACATAATTTGTCTAAATATTTTTAACTTTTAAAAGTACAATTTTTACCTTTTGATTAGCTAACTCTGAGGCCAAAACTAAATGTTTAAAATAATGCATTTGTGTTATTTCTGTATATTGTTATTTTATTCTTAGAGTTCTGTATACCATCATGATATCTACTCTTTTAATGCTCTACAATAGATCATTTTCCTTATATAGTGTTAACTTTCATCACTTTTCTTCCCTTTATAAAAAGCCCAAACTTGATATAAGTACAAGGTGATTTTGTTTTAATTAGATTTAAATGGGACAGAAAGAAATGAATAAGTACTATTCAGATGAAAGCATTCACCAATAAAAAGAATGATAGAAAAATAAGGGTATATAATACCAAAGTAAATGTCAGATGTCTCTGAATTATAAGTATTAAAATGATAGGTAAAACACAGTAAGAAAATAGAGTATTACAAAATAATCTGCTGAGTGAGGCAGACTCTTCTATGTATAGAATTAAAGCCAATATCCATAAAGGCCTTATCTATAATATTACTATATTAAAACATAAACCTTCCAATATAAAAAATCATGGTTTTGAATGATAATTAATTCTAAAGCTACTATGCCTAAATCATGGAGTTTCTTTAAAAATGGATAAAATAAGCAAGGTATACAAAAAAGTAATTCACAAAAAATAAGAAATCACTTAATAAAATGGTCAAAAACACTAGAATTAAACAAATCAAATTAAAATGGCATTTTCTTCCCCTGTGAGAATGATAAAAATTAAAAAATAAAAACCAACTAAACCAGGCCGGGCACAGGGGCTCATGCCTGTAATCCTAGCACTTTGGGAGGCTGAGGAAAGAGAAACCTCAAGACTACAAAAATAGAAAAATTAGCCAGGTGTGGTAGCACACACCTGTAGTCTCAGCTACTTAGGAGGCTGAGGCCATGCCACTTTAGCCCAGGCAATAGAGAGAGATTCTGTCTCAAAAACCACCCCCAAAACAAACAAACAAAAACCAAACCCCCCCAACATCTAATTTTGGAAAACATATAGGAAAAGAGACAATCTCATATTCTATTCCTAGGAATATAAATTATTATCTTTCTAGAAGTCTGTTTGGAAATATGGGTCAATTTTAAATGTGTGTTTCCATGATCCAGAAATCCTACATTGAGAAATTTAATGTAAGATAGAAAGCAGCCTCATGCAGAAATTTACGTATGTACATATGTATGCATATAGCACACACACATATTTATCTTTAATAGCAAAAAGTTTAGAAGCAATATGAAAGGCTATCAATAGGGAACTATAAGGCTACATTACAATACATACATATAAAACACAACAGATGCAAACACTAACGTAATGAAGATCTATTTGAAACTACCAATTATTTGTACTCTTGTTAAGTAGGGGGGAAAGCAGGTTTGAGATATGTTAAGTGTAATTTCATTTATGTAAAATTACACATTTATATTTATATTTGCATAGCAAGTATAATCTGTGATATACATCATATTATTTGCTAAGCTGCTTTCAGGTCATTTTTACTTTCTATGTTTCTGTGTTTTGATGTTTTTTTTTTTTTTTTTTGAGACGGAGCCTCAAGCTGTCCCCCTGGGTAGAGTGCCATGGCATCACGCTCACAGCAACCTCCAACTCCTGGGCTCAAGCGAGTCTCCTGCCTCAGCCTCCCAAGTAGCTGGGACTACAGGCGCCCACCACAGCACCTGGCCATTTTTTGGTTGCAGCCATCATTGTTGTTTGGCGGGCCCGGGCTGGGGATTCGAACCCGCCACCTTAGGTGTATGTGGCTGGCGCCTTAGCCGCTTGAGCCGCAGGCGCCGAGCCATGTTTTGATGTTTTTTAAAACAATAATCATCTATTATATTTAGGTTGAAAAAGTTAACTTCATTTTGAGGGAAAAAGATAAGGAAGAAATATTTAACTATAATAACACACAAAGCTAACATCCTCCTTCACACAATATATTCAAATTTTAAATGCTAGTCTACAAAAAAGTGCTTACCAAATGCTTGGTCTTCTCTGAAATATTTGCCTTCTTTTGGGAATTTCCCTCCTGTAGCACTATCTAAGGGAAAAAAGCAAAGTTTTATAGATTCAAAACAGATTTAAATTTAGTCACTTACTACCTTCTCATAAAATAAAGGTAAGAAAAAAGAGCCATTAAATGGGGTTAGACCTGATGATCTTCAAACTTTCTCTGTTCATGATGCCCTTAGGCCAAAAGAAATATCCAAGAGCTCCTAACTATGTAATTAAGGCCAAACAATTGCCTAAGTGTTTATGTTCTAACAATCCTGTAGTCCCCCGAAAAGATAATACTTATAAGTTGAAAAACAAATTTTAGTTTATTCTTAAATAACTACAATTGCTCGATAATTAGAGGTGTATTAGGCACTGCATAAATTTCACATACCATGGAGTATGTATTTCAGATTGGAAATGGACACTCTGATTTCCTGCGGCATAATCATTTTCAGATGGTACTTTTTACTATAGCAAATGCCAAAACCTCAGTTTCACAAAAATTGAGAAAGAAGAAAGTAATCAAACATCAAAACTGTGAACTACGTTCAGTTACAAAGTGTATGACAAAAGATAAGTATTGTAGTGTTTCTCTTGAAAATTTGAAATATTCTGATGCTTCCTTGAGGGTGTGTTGCAGTGTCCAGGGTACCATAGTGCCTGGTTTGGAAACATCAGAATTAAACATAAAAAACTCTCAAAGATTTTATTCAACGAGACAGCACATAACTGGCAACAGAAACAAACCAACCTAATTCTATATAAATGAGAGAAGTATAAATCCACTACATGGGGCACAGCAATATATTTTATTTCTTTAGTAACTGAAAGCAATGTGCTTTTCTTCTACATGTCCTGCCACATCCACACACACACACACACAAAAATTGTATTTAAAGTCTCTCCCAACAGATACCGTTTTTTGATGAAAATCCTGATTCAGTGATTGCTGCAGCTCCTGAATAGCATCTGAAAGTTGCTTGAACTCTTCTTGCTCTTCAACTGGAACAGAACTGAACACAGCAAAATAGATTAAAATAACATTTATTGAGTCCTTAACTTTGAAAGGCTAAAATAAAATCCTGCCCTCAAAGAACTTAGAAGAAACCATCTGCTTTCATGTTTCTGAATTATATGCTTTCATATGACAGCCATTTAAAACAGATTATCTAGCCTCTATTACAGAGAGAAAATAAAAATCAGATGAGCTCTTTTGATTTTTTACCATCAGATCTATGCATTTGTCCACCCTTTCTAACTTTACTCCTAATAAAATGAACCTGGTGTTCTCTTTCCTGTTTAATACTGGTATCTCCACCCCTGCTCTGGCTCTCTTCCCTCCACATGGCTCATTCCTGGATCCAGGCCCTTCCATCTGAATGTGCTCCATGTTAGTTTTGCCTATCAGGCATATTAGCCATCTATTTTTATTCTGCAGTAAACTCTCTGCGAATAGCCTTTTCCCATTTTTCTGTTATCTTTTTTCTTATCAGTTTGTGGGAGCATCTTATATGTTAGTAATGTTAGAAATAGTCCCTGGATCTTGTTATCAGAGGTTAGGAATGCTTTGTGGCGTAAGTTGCAACTATTCTGGCCCAGCCTGTCACTTTCCTTTTGACTTAATCTGTGGTATCTTTTACTATGTTCTATCTGCCTCCTATCCCCAGTCTTTTCAGCTTTCTGCAGCTTACAAAATCAACTTTTACTAAAAGAAACAATTTAGAAAAGCTCTCATCTGAAGCAAATAACCTCAAAGACATCAACAAATTAGAACAAAAAAAATCCTTCTACTTAAAATCAATATATACCTGAGGACACCCAAGTAGTCATAACTTTCAAGTGACCCTTTCTCCTATGTAATCTGAGTGAAAAACAAAACCAAAAAACTCTGTTGGAGTAAAATCTTCCTCCAGACATTAATTGATCTGGAGGAAGAAAGAGTCTAGACAATTATTGTTCATCTATGAAGACAAATACTCTAGATATAACTTAGAAAAGTAAGTTCTCTAGATATAACTTAGAAAAGTAAGCTAAGACTTTAAACTACTCAGGCTAACACACCAACAACAAGAAAGATGCCAAAGGATATATTTCACAAGAGTTAGATAAAAGAAAAAGAATTTTTCTTTCTTTAGAAATGTCAAGTTTAAGTAATCTATTGAGGAAGATAAATTAATTAACAAGAAACAATGTGGACTGCTAGGTTATAAAATATTACTTATAATTCACTTTGCATTTTGAAATTGTATTTATTTTATTTGTACATGTCCTACTTACTCAAGTCTCTCCAGTTTCATTAATCCCTCCTGGTGTGCGGCATTTAACTGCTGCATTTTGTCTGCAGAGGATTTCTATTAAGGCAAGTTTAATAATCTCATATTAAATCTCTCATTTTCAACATAATCAGTGATTTTTTTTTTTCCAAAAAAGCCTCCTAGCACAGGCTGCAAAATGTTTACTCACTCTGCTATTTCTGCCGTCAGAAATAAGAAATTTGAGATAGACATTCATGACAAATGAGGAATTTCTTGACCTAACACAAATATGGAGTTCTTACCATCATTAGGAACTGTACTAGATACCAGGAATTCCCAAGACTAACTCATAGTTCCAGAACTTAAGTAGCTCAGTCTCCTTGAAGAGTCAGATACATGAATAAAAATCTGTGAAAAGCTGTGAAATATCTCGTTCCATACGATGGGAACAATGAAGAACAACACTTAAACCAACTTGGGTAATGGCTGGGGAGACAGGTCGGAGAGGGATACAAAGAAGTAACGGATATCTGAACTATATTTTAAAAACAGAGGAATAGCCAAGCAAAATTGTGTGTGATTGTGAGAAAAAAAGAGACACACAGATAGAAAGAGAGAGTTGGGGATC